TGAAAAATTTCTTGCAATCTTTCCCACAAAAACAACAAAACTTGCAAAAATTTTGGAATTCATTTCAAAAATTTTTTGTAGATTTCACCGCATATTTCCTTTATCTCTCAGTCTGTGAGATACCATTTCACTATGGCCTTCCAGCAGCAATATATAGAATAAAGTGGTGAAATTCAACACACACACACACATACACGAACGCACACACAGACGCACACACGCACATACATACATAAGTACATACATACACGGCAATAAGAGCCCTGAAACGGTTGAAACCTTGTCAAATAATTCTGTTAAGAAAAACTTGAATACGGCAATCCCTTCAAAAGAAGAAACGAATGTCAGGACCGCAAACAGCCTAACGACCAAAAAGCCACTTTATGGAGAGTTGCCAGGTAAAAAATTACGTAACCATATTATGAATCAACAACTGCCAAGCTCTCATATTTTCTCGAGATTTTGCAAAAAAAAAACCACCCTCATAATTTTTTCCATATGTTTTTTTGGATCAAAATTCGATTCGTTTCCTCCGAATTATACTTCACAACCTCCAAAAAACTAGGCGTTCCTGAAAAAATCCGACCTGCCGATTTTTGAAGTACCGGCAATAACTAATAGCCTCTTCCCAAATATAAACCTAAATTCGATTTAAACCTAAAAATTCCTCAATCTAACTCCATACCTAACAAAAAGCATACTATGCCTGTAGTAAACATCGAGCAAAAACTGCAAAATTACAATTAGTGAAGGGAAACGTGATATTCTACTCTCCCGGAAGAATGAACAAGAAAAATAGAGAGGCTAAATCCGGAACTAATAGTAAGCTGACAAGTCAATCACAGCAACCACGAAAGGAGTCTCAAAAGGAGTCTCGAAAGGAGTCCCACGAAAGTCTCGAAAAGTCAAAGTCAAAATTCAAAAACCCTCTTCATTTTCATTCTCTGACAGAGTCGGAGGTATTTAGTGGGAATAGGGCCAACAGTAACATCGCAACAGCAACTCTGTGCTAAGAAGACCGCGGACGGTTCTTTTTTATACGTTTTTTGCACCTATGCAATGCAGAAAACGCATATTGACGGCAGGTTGTCTGTGTGCGTGTGTGTCTGTGGGTGCGCTGTGCGGTTATACCGACTTTTCATCTCGAGACCCACAAAAGCTACAGGGCTGAAAATTGGGGACCTTAACCTACATGCGTGTACGGGCCCCCATCTCCTAAATGGGCGCTCTTACCCGCGTGGTACCCACGCACGGCCTGCCAAAGTTTTTCTCGGGCAAGTTGCTAATTCGGGAATCTGAAAAACTAGAAGACTGAAATTTTACGCGGATGTTGCTTGTCCAAGTAGGTATTAATGAACTCAAGCCTAGTCTCCGGGTATGCGTGGTACCCACGTACGGGCCCGCCAAACTTTTTTCCGGACAAGTTGCTAACTGGAATCAGAGAAGCTGGAAAGCTGAAATTTTAAGGGGACGTCACCCTCCTCCC